GGGCACTGAGACAGTTAAATAGGGGAAGGGATAGTCTTGGTGTTGGCATAAGTGGTTATCCTCATGCAAAAGAATGAAACAACCCCTACCTCACACCATATACAAAAATTAATTCAAACTGGGTCAAAGAGCTCAATGTAAGATCTAAAACTATAAAACTCTTAGAAAAAATCATAGGAATGATTCTTTTTGACCTTGAGTTAGGAAATGAATCCTTAGATACCACACCAAAGCATAAACAATAAAGGAAATATAGACAAGCTGGGCATCATGAAAATTAAAACTTTATGCTAAGTGAAAGACCAGTCACAAAATGCCAGATAATATATAGTTCCATTTATATGAAATGTCCAGAATAAGCAATCTGTAGAGACAGAAAGTAGATTAGTGGTTGCCTGGACGTGGGGTAGGGTAGAGGAAGGAGTGGGGAGTGACTGGTGATGGGTACAGTTTCTTCCGGGGGGAGATGAAAATGTTTTACAATATATTGTGGTGATGGATGAACAACTCTGTGAATATACTAAAATCCACTGAAGCTACACTTTAAATGGATGAGTTATATAGTACGTGAATTCTATCTCAACAAAACTGTTATTTACAAAAGGAAATTGTATATTTTAAAAAATACTGTGCAGCTTCCCTTGTGGCTCTGATGGTAAAGAATCCTCCTGAAATGCAGGAGACCTGGGTTCAATGCCTAGGTAGGGAAGATCCCCTGGAAGAGGGCATGGCAACCCACTCCATCCAGTGAGCTTGCCTGGAGAATCCCCATGGAAAGAGCAGCCTGGAGGGCTACAGTTCACGGGGTTGCAAAGGGTCGGACACGACTGAGCAACTAAGCATGCATGCACGTGCTAACAACAATAAAAAGTTTTGCAAACCCAATGCGGCTCATGGGTCATCCATTTGCAGCAGTGAATGGAAGGTTCAGAAGAATTGACCATATTAAATACTATCAATATTTGTGTGTCTTTTGTCAAAATAATGAGTAGAGACACACACTGGGCTCCCCATTATCCATCCCCTAGGACACTGAGTCAAATCTCAAGTGCAATTTGTGTCTGAAAGTGAGCAGATGTTTTCTCTTAGAAGAAAACAGAAATGATTGTATACAGCATTTATTGTTTCTGCATTTGCTGCCAGGAATGTTTGCCACAAGTTCAGGGACAAGGTGTAGATAATAATCTGTGACTCTTGAAGTATGACCGACGGCGTCCGCTCTTCCCAAGTTCATACCTGGACTTGGTCTCTGCTTGGCTTGTTTGGGTTGGTTTAAGCTGTAAACTAATTCAAACCTTTCTACACAAGCTGTGTATACATTCCAAACACAGACCATCTATCACCCTGGAGGTGAAATCTGACAAGAGCAACATAAAGTTATTTATAGCATTTATTGATTTTAACTTGGCTAATGTCCCAGACTAGTTAGGTGATAAGACAGTACTCAACAAACTTCTGTTATTTACCTACCACTCACAGTTCTTGTTGCATGTAATACTATTGTTTAATCAATATTTTTTAATCAATTTCTCTCTTTTTTTTAAACTTACATGTATCTATGAACCTAAAGCAAAAGCCAGTGTCTCTTGCTTATTAACAGAAGATCCCTCTTAAAAAGAAGCCCAGTGAACACAGAAGGTTGATGATACCAGATACGTTTGACTGAGCAAACTCCAGGAGATGGCAAAGGACACGGAAGCCTGGCAGCCACAGTCCATGGGGTGGTAAAGAGTAGGGCACGACTTGGCAACTCAACAACCACCACCATTGCCTGACAAGGCTCTGAGCCTGAGGTCTCATTGTCAAGCTGGGAGATTAGAGGGGCTTAGATTGGATGGGCTTCCTTGGTGGCTCAGATGGAAAACAATCTGCCTGCAATGCGGGAGACCCAGGTTTGATCCCTGGGTCGGGAAGATCCCCTGGAGAAGGGAATGGCAACCCACTCCAGTGTTCTTGCCTGAAGAATTCCATGGACAGAAGAGCCTGGTGGGCTTCAGTCCATGGGGACGCAGAGTTAGACACGACTGAGCGACTGACACTTTCACTTTCAGACGGATGTTAGTGACCTAAGACTTTCTTCTTGACCGAATCAGAATGGTTAATGGAGAATGCACGAGAGTAGATATTAGAGAGACCCTGGATCGATTTCTTCCACGACTTTTTATTGGAGCCTAATGTGCTCTTCACCTCTTGGGCCTTGGGGTGCTGGACCATACAAGACAGACAAAGCCCCAGTTCTTTCCAGGTTTAGGGTTGTGGATTATAATATATAGGAATGAAGTAACATAAGAAGCACATTGCAGTGTCTGGACCATGGTAAATACTCAGTATTTTGATGTTATTCTCGTAGTTGTTATTATAATTATTATTACTTTATTATGCCAGAGCAGGGGGTGGCTCTCTGGAAAAAAGAGGGGTTGGGTTGGTCTGTGAACATCTGTCCTATAGCCATGATGGCCTGGAGAGGCACATGGAGTTTGAATCCCATCAGAGAGCAGAAACTGGAGTTAGCGAGTACAGCCCTTAGTGCTTTGGCCAGGAAGGTGAGGAGTGTTACTGTGTCAGAAAATTAGGTCAGCAGTGAGCATGCTTGGGTAAGTTTAAGATCTCTGTGTAGATATCAAGGTCTGGCATCATTCGTTTCAATATTCAGTGGTGTCCCAGGCATTGTGCTGGGCTTGCTGGGAATTCAACGCTGCTACCCTCAGGAGGCTTATGACGTCAAGAGAATTACAAGCCGCAGGACGAGTAAGTTTGACACAGAGTAGAATGAGGAGAGTTTCTTTCTCGATTGGTTGCAAATGACAGACATCCAGTTTGCATCAGCATGAGTAAGAAAGAAAATGTACTGGTTCCCGTATCTGCTGAGTCCAGGAATAAATGGCTTCAGCAATGGCTGGATCCAGGTGTTCAAATGATGTTGTCAGAAATCTGTCTCATGGCTCTGCTTTCCCCTGTGTTAGCTTTCTTTTCAGGCAGTCTCCCCATTTGTGATGCCAAATACCACCGGCTTCATAGTCTTAGCTAAAAGGGAGGTTGCTTCCTCAGTTGGATGCATGCATGCTCAGTCGCTTCAGTCACGTCCAACTCTTTGCAACCTGATGGACTGTAGCCCACCAGGCTCCCCTGTCCAGGGGGAGGATTCTCCAGGCAGGAATACTGGAGTGGGTTGCCATGCCCTCCTCTAGGGGATCTCCCTGACTCAGGGACTGAACCCACATCTCCTTCATCTCCTGCAGTGCAGGCAGATTCTTTACCCACTGAACCACCTGGCAAGCCCACGCTTCCTCAGTTACTCCAGTATAAAGTAACAGAACTGAATTCCAATGGTCCACACTGGGGTCATGCGAGACCCCTGCCCCAGAGTTAGACATGGTGGCCTGGCCACCCACACCCACTGAGCCTGGGGGAGGGGTTCATGTGGGAACATCAGAGCCAGGGGAGGGGGTTCTGGGACGCAGGCACCACCCTGCCCACCGCAGAGCCCCCAGAGAGACAGAGGCTCTGAGACGAGGGCAGCGGTCATGCCAGCCAGGACAACTTCACAAAGGAAGTTTGGCCTGTTGGGGCTCCAGGGATGGGGCTGGGGTGTTCCTGCAGCAGGTTCCAGCTCTGTATCTGGGAAGAAGGAAGGGGGAAGCAGGTACTTCCTGAGAAGCCATCATCTGCCAGGCTCTTTGACAAGTTTCTTGGTTAACGTCCCAAGAACCCTGTCTACTCACACAGGTGGGAAGTAGTCTCAGAAGGTTTACCATCGCTGGACGAACCTCAGCTAGCCCCAGTGCACCGGGGCCGCCCTCACCCGACTCCCGTCCGTCTCCACCAAGCAGCTGGGCGGTCTCTTCACACTGCAGAGTTGACAGCATCTCACCTCCGCTGAAACCCTGATCCTCAACATGGCCCACAAGGCCTTGCCCTCTGCCCACCACCACCCCTCTCCTGTCCTCCCCTTCAACTCCTCCAAGAACTCACTCCGAGATTTAGCAGGAGTGATATTTATTTGTAACGATGGTAGCTAATGCTTAGGTGCCAGGCCTTATCGAGACTCTGTATTTTCATTCATTTCAGTCTTCACAGCAGCCCTGTGAGGTGGGGACCGTTATTATCTCCATTTTATAAGGGGAGGAAACTGAGCCACTGAGAAAGTGATGTGATCAAAAGTCACACAGCTGGAAAGTAGCAGAGCCGAGATTCAGAGCCAGGCATTTCGCTCCGGAGTCCTCGTTCTTAACCACCGCCGTCTCCTGCCGCTGAGCACACAGGGTCCCCATCCTTCCTGTCATGTTTCCTAACTACGCATTCTGATGGGGTATATGATTGACGTCTGTCTCAGCACCAACAGCTGCTGGAAAGGTCGCCAACATACTGAGCACTTGGTCTGTGCTGGGCACTGTGTTTGGCACCTTGTAGGCATCAGTCAATTTCAACTCTCACAATTGTGTAAAAACTAGGTACAGTTGTCCGTTTTGCACACGGAGAACCTAAGAAGTTGAGGGTTTAAGTAACTTGTCCACCAAGCTGGAAATTCCCAGAGGGAAGAAACCATGTCCATTTTGCTCATCATTGAGTTCAGAGGGGCCAATTAAGTGCCTGGCATTCAGTAGGCACTTAATAAAGGTTTTGGGGTGGGCGCTAATGGTAAAGAACTCACCTACCAGTGCAGGAGTTGTGAGAGATTCAGGTTTGATCCCTGGGTCTAGAAAATCCCCTAGAGGAGGCCATGGCAACCCACTGCAGTATTCTTGCCTGGAGAATCCCATGGACAGAGGAGCCTGGTGGGCTACAGTCCATGGGGTCGCACACAATCAGACACGACTTTAGTGACTTAGCACACAGCTGGCTGGATGATAAATGGCCAGACGGAAGGGAGGGAGGTGGGGAGGAATGGAGAGAGGGCCAGCCTGCCTGTCTCCAGTGCCCATGCTCTGGTCACAACTGGGAGATCCTGGGACATGAGGCTGGCGTGGTATCTGACGTGGCTCTCTTGGCTGTCTCTGCAGGAGCCATGATGCACGTGAAGAAGTACCTGCTCAAGGGCCTGCATCGGCTGCAGAAGGGCCCCGGCTACACATACAAGGAGCTGCTGGTGTGGTACTGTGACAACACCAACACCCATGGCCCCAAGCGCATCATCTGCGAGGGGCCCAAGAAGAAGGCCATGTGGTTTGTGCTCACCTTGCTCTTCACCTCCCTCGTCTGCTGGCAGTGGGGCCTCTTCATCAAGACCTACCTGAACTGGGAGGTCAGCGTCTCCCTCTCCATCGGCTTCAAGACCATGGACTTCCCCGCCGTCACCATCTGCAACGCCAGCCCCTTCCAGTAGGTGGTCCCTGGAGCACGGCTGGTCTCAGCCGGGCTGCTTCTCCTCTTTTCCTTCCTTCCAGGTTTCCTTCCTTCTTTCCCATTTCCTCCTTTTTCTCTCTCTCTAGCTCTTTCCCTCTTTGCAGCAAGTAAGCTTCAAAATCCATAAACCTCCTCAGCTTACAAAGAACCTCCAAAAATACCTGGTGGTCCCTTCAGTCACACTAGTGCCTATTTATTGACTCAGTGTGTGTTTATTGAGCACCTACTATTGCCACCTACTATTGGGGCTTCCCCTGTGGCCCAGATGGTAAAGAATCCACCTGCAATGCAGTCTTGATCCCTGGCTTGGGAAGACCTCCTGGAGAAGGGAATGGCTACCCACTCCAGTGTTCTTGCCTGGAGAATTCCATGGACAGAGAAGCCTGGCAGGCTACGGTCCATGGGGTCATAAAGAGTAGGACACAGCTGAGCAACTAACATACTACTGTTGCCAGGCAACGTATGGGCACCAGGAATACATCAGTAACTAAAACAGTGCCTCCTGTCCTCATCACAGCCTCCCAGAGAAAGCAGACATCCATCTTTTCTTGCATAAATATTGAAATCATTCTCATTGTGAGGATTAAACTGGACCTGTATCCAGGGTTTAGTGTCCCCTCCTACAGGAAGTCCTCCAGCCATCTATAGCAACCATGCATTGAGTGCGTTTCATAATATTACCTAGATGCCAGGCAATATGTTGAGTGTTCTTTGGACAATTCATGTCATTCTAATCCATACAACCACTCTGGAAGGGGGCACTACTCTAGTAGCCCCAGTTTATGGGTCGGGAAATGGAGATTCAGAGAGGTGGGGGAACGTGCCCAGTGACACACAGTGAGCAACTGTGGAATTTGAATCTAGGTCTGATCTGACTCCAGAGCTGCCACTGTTTAACCACTGGATGGCAAGGCCTAGGAAGGAGACACCCAAGGAGACCCAGCCTAGTCGGTTGAGGAAAGGCAGGGGGTCAGTCACAGAAAAATACCCCAAGAAATGAGTAGACGTTAGCCAGGTGAAATGGAGAGTGCTCCAAGTGGAGGACATAGCACATGCAGAGGTCCTGGGGTAAGACAGAGCTTGGTGCATTCAAGGGGTTGAAAAATGAGCCAGCATGTCTGAGTCACAGGAAACATCCTTGTCCAAAAGGAGGTCCTGGAAGGCAAGTCATCCTTCCTGGTTACATTTCCAGGTATCAGAAAGTCACCTCATTCTGATCATAGGGCTGTTCTTCCTTGCTTGGGTGGGTCTTTGAAGGTACTCAAGAAAACTCTTAATAATTACAATAACACACCCTGTTTTATAAGCATCACCCTATTGAATCCTCCCCAAATCTTCTAGGGTAAATGTTTTAATCCCCCACTATCTCATAGATGAGAGAACAGAGCCTCAGAGAATTTAACCTACCCAGGGTCACACAGATATTAAGTGGCATGCTGTGCTGTGTTTAGTCACTCATTTGTGTCCCACTCTTTGCAACCCCATGGACTGTAGCCCAGCAGTCTCCTGTCCATGGGGATTCTCTATGCAAGAATACTGGAGTGGATTGCCATGCCCTTCTCCAGGGAATCTTCCCAACCCATGGATCAAACCCAGGTCTCCCGCATTGCAGGCAGATTCTTTAACATCTGAGCCAGCAGGGAAGCCTAAGAATACTGGAGTGCGTAGCCTATCCCTTCCTCCAGGGGATCTTGCTGACCCAGGAATTGAACCAGAGTCTCCTGCATTGCAAGCGGATTCTTTACCAGCTGAGCTACCAGGGAAGCCCATTAAGTGGCATGCTGGAATTCAAACCCAAATCTTACCAAGCTTGACAGCAGCTGTGGACACCCAGGCTATAATAGCAGCCCCCACCCCACAGCCCAGCACCTTCCCTGTCCTCCTCTCCCTGTGTGCACAGAGGTGGCTGGTCTACCGATCAGGGGACAGGCAGTGTCAGCATCTGCAACTGATGTCAGCTCTGGCCGCTGTCCACCTTTGTACCAGCACTTTGGGCCTATATCCAGGGTTTAGTGCCCTCTCCTACAGGAAGTCAGAGCTGACACACACCACCCTGGAGACCACACTCTGGGCAGGGTCTTGGATAAATTGGGTTCTGGAGAGACCGGGGTGCAGGGCTTGGAGCCCCCCACTCAGGGCCTGGTGGGAACACTCCCTGGGGTGGACACATTTCTGCTGGACTGACTGGTCACCATTTCCCGTATGGGAACCTCAGGGACTGAGAAGATCCTGGATCTCAACCCCACAGTCTTCTTCCTGCTGAAACTGGCTCCTGTTCCCCAAATTGCTGCTGAAGATTTAGGACCTCAGGGTCACAGACCTCCCCTCTCCCAATATTATACCCCTCGTGGGAGGAAGAAGTCTGAACCCCGTGCACCCACAGCATACCACCTGGGGCCCACCAAACCCAGGTTCTCAGCTCTGCGCCTTCATCATTGGGGTGAGCTGAGGAAATCACAGCAACTCCTAGAATTTCTTGATCCACATGTGGGGGTGATTATAAAATTTTATTTATTAATTGACTAAAAGAAGATGCAGGGAATACCTAGCACCTGGTAACATGGTGAGTGATCAATAAGTGTGAACTCTTGGGACTCTGTCTCAGTAGCATGTGAATTTCTTAGGGAAAGAGACCCAGTCTGTCCTATTTGCTATAATATCTCTGTGCCTTGCACATAGTATAATAACCTCTGTGTACTTGGCACATAGTAGATACTCACCAAATACTGGGTGAAGAATGAGTGAGCAGGTGGTGGAAGGATGCACGGATGCATGGGTGGGTGGGTCGAGTGGTGGGTGCTGGGGGCGGGGAGGAGCGGCCTTCTGACACGTGGTGGCAGCCACGCTGGGGTAAGAGGGGACCCCAGACCACGGCCGCTCTGCTCTGCAGCTGCCCCTTGCCCCCCTGACTGGCCCTCTCCCCCACCCAGGTACTCCAAAGTCCAGCATTTGCTGAAGGACCTGGACGAACTGATGGAGGCAGTCCTGGAGAGGATCCTGGGTCCCGAGCTCAGCCAGGTCAATGCCACCAGGACCCTAAACCTCTCCATCTGGCACCACACGCCCCTGGTCTTTATCAACGAGCAGAACCCCCACCACCCGGTGGTTCTGGACCTGTTTGAGGACAACTTCAATGGCTCAGCAAGCAGCAGCCCGGCACCAGGAAGGCCCTGCAGCGCCCACAGGTGCAAAGTAGCCATGAAACTAGTAAGTGGGTTCCCCTCCCCAGGCATGGGTCAAACAATGGGCCCTCTCCAGTGAGTCCGATGGGAGTCTCTTTCCTTAACTAATCTGGGTCTTGGCTAGGGGAAAGCTGGAGCCAGGACCCGTTTTGTATGTTTGCATACAATTTTTTACATTTATTTATTTGGTTGTGCCGGGTCTCAGTTGTGGATCTTTGATCCTCATTGCAGCATGTGGGATCTTTAGCTGGGGCACATGGGATCTAGTTCCCTGACCAAGGATCAAACCAGGCCCCTGTTATTGGGAGTTCAGAGTCTTAGCTTCTGTATCAGCAGGGGGATCCCAGCTATTTTTAAATTAGCAATAGTTAGTATGTTATTCAAGATGCTACTGGATGCCAGTGACCCAGTTCCAACTAGCTTAAGTAAAACAGGGAATTCTTTAGTTCACAGACTGAGAAGGCCAGAGGTGGATTGAGTGAAGGTGTGGCTGGATCCAGGTGTTCAAATGCTGTCATCAGGAGTCCCTCTCTGCACTTTGGTTTAGCTTTTCTCTCAGTTGACTTTGCTCTCTGGCAGGCTCCCTCCATAGGGAAGGCTCTGGAAATATTAGATATATCCCACCAGCTTAGCGCTCTCCCCAGACACAGAGCTCTTCTTTCCTGAATGCCCCAGCGAACATCCTGGGACTGGGCATCAGGTCACATGCTCAGCCCTAAACCAATCACTGAGGGCTGGAGGATGGACTTTCATGATTGGCCAGTCCTGGGTCACGTGCCCTGGAGTTGAGGGTGACGTCAGCCTCTATCAGACCACATGGACTGAGCAAGGGGGACGGGGTGGGTGGCTTCCTGAAGAAGGAAGTAAGTCTTATTATCAGAAGACAGGGACATAAATATTGGGCAGGTAGAAAACCACAGCTATGCTGTACACTCATTGCCAAAGCATAACTGGACTGCTGGGATGCCCGAGAGCCTGCAGGTGGAAAGAAGGTTCCCTGTCCATACCTGGGATCCCTGGGGGCCCTGTAACTACACTGATCCGTGGGCCTGACTCCTGGAGAACGTGAAAGGGCAGTTCTGGGCCCAGACCCAGGAATCTGTCTTGTTAATGGGCTTCCCGGTGATTCTGATGATCTCCTTTGGTTGGGGACCGAGGCTGGGGCTGTACACTCCCCACTGCCTCCCATACACCATATGTGGTCAGGATCTTCCCCCATCAGAGACGGAGGGCAGAACCTAAAGTCTCAAGTCTTTCATGGTCCACCCGGCCTCCAGGGGGCTGCCTCTGGATGCCTGGGAGGGGCTGGGAGTGGAGCTGTGGGAGTGGAGGGTCAAGAGTGTCTGCTGCTCACGTGTCCACATGAGCATGAGTGTGGGGCCACTTGTGTGACTCTAGGCATGTGGACACGTGTGTATGTAGTTGTGACGCCAGGACATTGTGTGACTGCAGATGTCAGAAAGGGGTATGTCTTTGTGGACCTGACTGTGTGTGCAAGTAGGTTGGCTCAGGCCTGAGGCCATGTTATATGGGGGTAACTGGTGCTGTGTGTATGTGAGTGGACAACCCAAGCCTTGTGACTCTGAGTGCCAACATACTGCCCACTGGCCCAGCTGCTGGCCACCCCGGCAGCAAGGTGCCACCCGAGGAAGGGCAGCTGGCAGCACCCTCGCTGCCCTGGCTTTCAGGGTGGGGGGCCCTGCAGCAGCACCCCCCCCACAGGAATCCCTCTCACTCCCCCACCCCCACCCTCTGCAGTGCAGCCACAATGGAACCATGTGCACCTTCCGGAACTTCAGCAGCGCCACCCAGGCCGTGACGGAATGGTACACCCTGCAGGCCACCAACATCTTCGCACAGGTTCCAAACCAGGAGCTGGTGGCCATGGGCTACCCCGCTGAACGGCTGATCCTGGCCTGCCTGTTCGGGGCAGAGCCCTGCAACTACAGGTGAGAGCCACTGGACCCCCCAAGGCCAGGGTCCACATCCTGGGTCCACACCCCAACTTGGCACCCCAATTGTCTGTACCCTGCTGTCTTCCGTTTCTTAGAGGGAGTCAGAAAAGGATGTGCTGATGGCCTCATCACGTCATGAGGGCATTGCTTTAGGGAAAGTCTGTAGGGAAAGAGGACTGCGCTAGGGGGGAATGTGGCCTCAGGTGACATCTAAGCCAGGTGTCATCCCTGTAAGCTGCAGCGCAGAGCTGTCCTCCCTTATGCGGGGGGCCCATCAGTCATTCCCTGGGTGTGTGCCACCCCCAGGAGCATGGGCTGGGGGTCTCCTAACTTCCCAGGCAAGGAGGTGGGAGAAGGGGCAGCCATGAGCTGTTAGCCTCCAACACCCAGCCATCTACTGCCCTCAGTTTTCTCATCCCTAAGATGGGACAATAACCGTATCTGTGTCTCATGTAGAGTAGATGAATTGGCTCATGTCAGCACCTAGAACAGGGCCCTAGAAGCCTTTGTCATAAACACCCTTTCCCCAAACAGCCCCAGAGTTGAGAAGAGGGCAGGATGAGGGCAGCATTAACTCTGAAACCGTCCTCTTCCACGTGGTCCACAGATCTCCACCTCCTTCCCCACCGCCCCCACCCCCTCCAGCTTCTGACCATCCAGACCCTGGGTCTGAGCTCCCAGCTCTGTCCCCAACTCTCGGACAGACTCGACGGGCGGGTCACTTGGGAAGGGAGGCTGGGCACAGGCAGGTGAGCTGCTGAGGCCCCAGTGCCCCCTCCTGGCCTCGTGGCAGGCCTCCAGGTGTAGTGGCCGCCCCCCGCGCCCCACTGCCCCGAGTCCAGCCCCGGCCTTTGGCCGGCCCCATTTCCCTGAGATGCTGGCGTCCTCCTGGCTTGGGGCTTCAGATTCCCACACTTAGGTCTCTGGAGAAAGGGACTTTTTGCCAAGTCTTGCCAAAGACTTTGAACTAGTGACAGGCTACCGGTTTCAACCTCCCGGGGACTGTGGCCTCAGCCCGCATCAGTCAGCTCATGAACCCTCAGGAACCTCTGCTGAGAATCTGCTGATTCTGTCCCCCAGAAAGCACAGGCGCAGGGCAGGTGTAGGTCATGTCAAGGAGTCAAGGCCCCCTGAGCAGGCAGAGCTGCATGCCTGATCCTTTGTGAGAATCAGAGAAGGAGGGACCTACAGGTGGAAGAGCTGCGTGCCGGCCCCCCACCAATGGCCCACGTCCTCACTGGCTGGTTGCAGGCTGGGTTCCAACCCCTCTCTCTGGGCGAGGGGACTTGCTTCAGAGCCTACCTTCCCCACCACTCCTGGCAGCCTGCCTTGAGGTTGTGGGTACCCAGTAAATGAGGTCTGTGCCTGTAAGTTCATCTTTACCCTCACAGCTAAGAGAGAGGTGTAATACGGTGATTTAAAACATATGGTTTATCTGCTCAGTCAGAATATGCCCTGAAGTGTGAGTAAGTTGAAAAAGTGGGATCTGTTAGGATCCACTGGGTTCCTGGCACTTCGTGTGAGCTCTTCATAGTGGGATCCCAGGGCTCGAAGATGTGTGTTCTGCACACAGCTCGGTCCCTAAACAGAGCCCCTGGCGACTTCCTGGCCTGACCGAGGGCGGGAGGCAGCCTGGGGATGGCCTCCATGTTGCCAAGATGGCGCCCTCCAAATGGAGCCCTATTTGGGTCAGATGACTGAGAAGGTGGCTGATGGGCAGGCAGCACCCAGTGTTGGCCATAACTGTGTGGTGTGGCTGTGACTGGGGAATAAATCTAGTGAGGTGGTCAAGGCTGGACTCTGCAGTTAGACCACTGAGTTCAAATCCTTGCTCTGTCTTACCAATTGTGTGGCTTCTTAACCTTGATATGCCTCCATTTTCCTCCTGCATAAAATAGATAATAACAGTGCCTGCTCTGTGTTCATGTGCGTGCGTGCTCAGTCTGTCTGACTCTTTGTAATCCCGTGGACTGTAGCCCGCCAGGCTCCTCTGTCCTTGGGATTTCCCAGGATAGAATACTGGAGTGGGTGCCATTTCCTCCTCCAGGGGATCTTCCCGACCCAGGGATCGAACCCATGTCTCTTATGTCTCCTGCATTGGCAGGCAGGTTCTTTACCACTGAGCCACCTGGAAAGCCCAGGTACTGGGTTCTTTGGAATATTAAATGAGTTAATGTGCGTGACAGGCTGACAGTCACGCATAGTAACTCAGTATTACTCTCATTAAACCCACATTTGACAAGGAACTCATTCTTCAGTAATGATGCTAACGTTTACTGCACCCTTCTTATGTCCGGGCGCTATTCTTAGCACTTTACATGTATAAAATCAGTCAGTCTAACTCTGGCAACAAGCCCTTCTTTTATATGATACAGCACTGCTCAGAGAGGTTAAGCAACATCTCTGAGGTCACACAGCTGGTGAGTAGCCAAGTGGCAGTCTGAGCCAGGCCCACCTGGCGTCACCTCATCACCTCATCAGAAATCGAGATCATCTTCCTTCCCCACCTACCCGTTTCTTCAGCCCTTGGCAGTTTCTTGGCACGGAGACCGTAGTCCACCCGTCTCCATGCTGCTTCTAACCCTACTGGTTTCCCATCTTCCTGAATTAGCCTCAGACTCAGCGCCAGAGGACACATGCCCCTCTCCGCCCTCCCAGTGTTGGGCCCCAGACGCTTTGGCTCCCTTACTCTGCCCGGCTCTCCGTCCTCTCCGCCTCATATTAGCAAATGCTGAAGGTGCAGCCACTGCACTTTTAGGAAAGCATGAGCCACGTTTGGACCCTGACACCAAAGCACCTGGGTTTGAACCAGCTGGGCTTCCCCGGTGGCTCAGACGGTAAAGAACTCACCTGCAAGGCAGGACACCCAGGTTCGATCCCTGGGTTGGGACAATCCCCTGGAGAAGGGAATGGCTACCCACTCCAGTTATTTTTGCCTGGAGAATCTCATGGACAGAGGAGCCTGGTGGGCTACATATAGTCCATGGGATTGCAAAGAGTCGGACAGGACTGAGCGACTAATACTTTCAGCTTTTCTGTTTGGGGGCATACCGCTTAGCTTCTCTGGGTCTCAGTTTTCTCATCTGGAAAACAGGGATAGTGAAATGACCTCGTAAGGCTATCATGGGGATTAAGTGCATTTACATAGATAAAGTACTTAGAACAGTACTTAGCACATGCTAAGAATTATAGGAGCAATTTAACTTTTTATTGTGGAGTAGTTTTAGATTTATAGACAAGTTTCAAGGAGAGTACACGGAGTTCCCTGGTACTCCTCACCCAGTGTCCTCTATCCTTCACATCTTAAGTCACCATGTAATCTATCAAAAGTAAGAACCAACATGATCACATCACTATTAAACAAACCTAACACTTTATTCGGATTTGTCGATTTTTCCTGATGATCTTTTCCTGCTCAGGCTTCTATCCGAGAGACCACATTGCTATCTGTTGTCTTGTCTCCTTGGTCCCCTCTGACTGTGACACTTTCTCAGATTTCCTTGTTTTGGATGACCGTGACAGTATCAGGGTGCTGGTCAGGTGTTTTATAGCAAGCCGTTGATCTGGGTTTATGCAGATGAGATGGATTTGGGGGAAGAAGACCACAGAGGTGGAGGCTTCCTCGTCACATCCTATCAGGGGGTACATGCTAGCCACTCAGTACCACCCATGATGTTGACCTTCCTCCCTTGGTTAAGGTCGGGTGTGTTGGGCTTCTCCAGCCGTGCTCTGGATCATGAGCTCTAAGTTCAGCCTGTACTCTGCAGGGTGGGGTGAGGGTAGCGGCAGGGGGAGGGAGATTAAACTCCACTTCTCCTGGAGAGGGGAACAGACACTATTCGGAATTCTTCTGTACAGAATGTCTTCTCCTTTTGTTTATTTATTCAATCATTTATTTATACTAGTATGGACTCTTGTATATTTGGGTTGTAATCCAATACCACACTATTTATTTTATTACTCAAAATTTTCCAGTGTTGGCCACTCAGAGCTCCTTCAGTTGGCTCCTGTGTCCCTTCAACGTGTCCTCATCCACTTATTTATTGTTTTAGTATTTCCCTACTTTCTGGCACTAAAAGATGCCCCAGTCCTAGAATCAGCCATTTCTCTGAGAAGCTCCAGTCCTTTTACTGGAGAATGGGATTCAGAAACCAGGCTCTAGGCACATATGGCTTCCCTGATAGCTCAGTTGGTAAAGAATCCGCCTGCAATGCAGGAGACCCCGGTTTGATTCCTGGGTCAGGAAGATCCCCTGGAGAAGGGATAGGCTACCCACTCCAATATTCTGGAAAATCCCATGGACTCTGTGTTCCATGGGGTGGCAAAGAGTTGGACACGACTGAGTGACTTTCACTTTTTCAGGAGCATGTGTGTTGCTGTTGCTTCGGGGGTTGGTCCGCTGGTTTCTCCCTTCCCCAAACCCTACTACCCAGCACCACTGTCATTGTACGGCTCCCAGCTAGGACGCTCTGTCTCCCCGTCTTTGCGGGAAGATTGCTGGTCTCTGTCATTAACGCCTCGCCTCTGTTCCAGGGAAGGTTTGGGGAGGGAAACGCCTAGCTCTGGAGCCAGAGTCGGCCAGTGCTGGGAGCAGCCTCTCCAGGTAAAGAACATTTATCAACAAGCAAATAGTTGGCAAGCCTCAGAGTGCAACCCGGGACAGGAGGGGATCTGGCCGCACCCAGAGCCACCTCCCGCTCCTGGGCGGTAGGTGTCCGAGGCAGCTTCTCGGGAACATCGCGTGCCCACGTCCCAGGGGCGGGGTCTCTCCTTCCAGAGCCGGCGCCCAGATGCAACTGGTTTTCCCCACTCAGTTCCTCCCTTGTGGCCACAGCCCTGATCCCACCCGGGGAAGAGACTCCACGGTACCCGCCCAAAGCGGTTTCTTCCCTCTGGGCCTTCGGTGTCCTCCCCACCCTCATCCCAGCCCCAGCCTGGGCTGCCCTTCGTCCACCCCGCACCTGCAAAGCTCGGCCACCTCTTACTCATCCTTCGAGTCTCAGCTCAGGCCTCATCTCCTGCAGGAACCCTCCCTGACCCACTCCCCACCCCCACGTCCACTCTTCCAGGCTTCTCTCTGTTGCTACTCTTATCACATATTATAATTTATCCAGCAAATATTGACTGAGTGTCTGTCTATCAAGTGCCAGGCTCTGAGGATCGGGGGTGAATCTGTTCAGTAGCTCAGTGTGCTCAGCTTCCAACCCTCACCTCAGTCCTTTTGGGTGGGTGCTGTTGTTACCCCGGTGTTATGGGGGCAGAAACAAGGCCCAGAGAGGTGAAGTGACTTTCCCCAAGCTCACCAGCGAGTAACTGGCAGAGGCAGAATTCAAATTCGGGCAGGCTGGCTCCCAAGCCTGAGCCCTTCGCTTTTAGGGTCTTTCTCCCTCCAGACAGACAGCTGTCCTCCCTGGGATTATTTTCTAAAGCAAGAGGCCGCTGATGAGCAATTAAGTCAAGAAGATGAGTTCAGCTTCTGATGCATGCTAGCGTGGGAATGTTGTTGTTGTTGAGTTGCTAAGTTGTGTCCGACTCTTTGTGACCCCATGGACTGTAGCCTGCCAGACTCCTCTGTCCATGGGATTTCCCAGGCAAGAATACTAGAGTGGGTTGCCATTTCCTCCTCCAGGGGATCTTCCCGACCCACATCTCCTGCCTTGGCAGGTGGATTCTTTACCACTGAGCCACCAGGGAAATAAGCAGGTGGAAATGGTCAAGTGACTGGGAGGTGACTTTGCATAGGGAGGTCAGGGGACATCTCCGGGCAGATGAAACCTGAAGGAGGAGGAGAAACCAGACACTTGAAGATCTGCTCAGAGAATATTCCAGGCACAAGGAGCAGTGGGCCTTGAATTTAAAGACAACATGGAGTGTCTCTGGAGTATAATGAACAAGGGAGAGGAAGCCAAGTGGGGCATTTGCATTTTATTCTGAGAGCAGCAAGGAGCTTCTGGAAGGTTCTAACAGGGGCGTGCTATGGGCTAATTCACAATTTTTTTTGGGGGGGTGTGAGCTATTTTTAAAGTTTTTATTGAATTTGTTACCCTATTGCTTTTTTTGGCTGCAAGGCATGTGGGATCTTAGCTCTTCAACCAGGGATAGAACCCACACCCCCTGCATCGGAAGGCAGAGTCCTGACCACTGGACCACAGGGAAGCCCGTGATTCACAGTTTAAACAGTTGCCCTGACCACTGTGCAGGAGGAAGATTGTAAGGGAGCAGGAGTGGAGGCAGAGGCTCCTACAGGAATCGGGGTCGGGGGAGCTGGTGGCCCTGGACCAGGGCGGGAGCCTTAGAGGTGGAGGAGGCGGGCAGGAAGGAGAATTGCCATGAGCCCACTCTGTGGTCTCCCCCACGCCATGAGCTTCAAGGGCAGGACTGTCTTGCTGGCCTCCATGTCCCGAGCCCAGTGCATGAGTCAATAAGAGTTGGGTGAGAAATGCAGTTTGTCTTTGATGGTGGAGGACACCTCAGCTCAGAGGCTGAGGAAGCCACTCACGTGCATGTCGGGCAGAGTCAGCTCCTGGATCGGGTTTCACCACCTGCCCTGGACCCACCTGATTCGGCTGGCGCAGGGGGTGAGACCAAAGGGACAGGAAATGGCTTCCTAATCCGAACATGGGGACAAATACCTGCTGACCTCACAGGGTTATTGCGAGAATTAAAAGAAAGAACATACCCAGAAGTCTTCAGCATGGCCCGGGAAAATTTGCTCAGTAAATGCTGTGGAACAGAAAGCTTAGAAAGTGTAGCATTTCAGGTATATTTCTGCAGTATCTGATGCACCAAGCCCCATTCCCTCCTATTCTTAATAAAATAACAGAAAGCCATATAAAAGCATCCAAAGACATTTTAAATGCTAGCTCCATTTTTAAAAAATATTTATTTATTTAGCTCCATGGGTCTTAGTTGTGACACTCAGGATCTTAGATCTTTGTTGCTGAATGAGGGATCATTAGTCTTGGGATGCAGGATATTTTCACTGTGGCATGAAAACTCTTAGTTGCATCATGTGGGATCTAGTTCCTTGACCAGGGTTTGAACCCAGGCCCCCTGCATTGGGAGTGTGGAGTCTTAACCACTGGACCACCAGGGAAATCCCCTTAAATGCTGTTTCCTATGGAGACTTGAAATTGGGCTTCCCAGGTGGCGCTAGTGGTAAAGAACCCACCTGCTAATGCAGGAGACTTAAGAGACGTGGGTTCCATCCCAATTCCTGGGTTGGGAAGATCCCCTGGAGAAGGGAATGGCAACGCACTCCAGTATTCTTGCCTGGACAATTCCAAGGACAGAGGAGCCTGGCAGGCTGCAGTCCATGGGGTGGCACAGAGTTGAACACAACTGAAGCGGCTTGGCGCACATGGAGACTTGAGAACATACACGTAGACAGGACAGGGTGTGAGGAACTCACATGGACCCACCACCCAGATTCAATAAGTGCGATTCTCATCCTGTTAAAACAAATCCCAGACATCATATCCTTTCATCTATATGGTGTGTAGAATGTATCTTCAAAGAGAAAGACTTGACAAAAGCACAATACCGTTTCGCCCCCTTAAAAAGAAACGATCAGTGCTTCCTCATTACCATCATCTATCCAGTGGTGTTCAGTCTGGTGAGTGTCAGACTTTTTTGTTTGCTTGTTTGAATGAGGATCCAATTAAAGTCCACAGGTTGGGGATAGAACCAAGTCTTTGAAGCTGCTTTCAATCTGAAGGTTACCTCCCTTTCCCTGTCTCATAATTTATTTGTTGAAAACACTGGGTTATTTATTTTCTGGAGTCTGGATTTTGCAGATTGACTTTCTCCAGTATCTTTGAACTTGTTCCTCTGTCTCCAGTATTTGCTGTAAATGGTAGTTAGAGACAGATGTTCGACCCTGTTCACGGCTGGGTGTTGTGGTGGTTGTTTTGTTTATTGGCAAGGCCACTTCCTGGGCAGCCTGTGCCCTTCCATCGGGACACAGCATTGGTCACCACTGGTGCACGTTGCCCGAAACCCCCAAAATCAGGGGAACAAAATGATGACCCTCTAATTGTATCACTCGCTCTTCAGTTACTAGCTTGATGAAACCAGAACTTAACAGCTATTTTACAACAAAAAAAATCAGTTGCAGGAAGCCATAGATTAAAAGAGATTTAAAAGGCATATCAACCAATCACATGTCAATGTCATTTGGATCCTAATTTAAACCAATAAATTGTAAAACCAAAATTGACCTCTATGAGACAATATAAATTGAATGTATAATAATATTAAGGAATTTTTATCAGTTATGTTTAACCTGGTAATAGCGGTGTTTTAGCAGTTCTTATGGGGACTCCCCTGGTGGTCCAATGGTTAAGAATCCATCTTCCAATGCAGGGGGTGTGGCTTCTCTAGAGGGGAACTAAGATCTCAACTAGAGAGCCTGTGCATCATAACTAGAGAAGCTTGCACCAAAAAAAGAAAAAAAAAAAAGTTCTTACTTATATAGAGATGTTTACAAATAAAATTGTAATATCTGAGATTACCTTCAGTAGGGGTAGGCAGAGATGAAACAGCTGACTGTAGGGGATTGTTGAAGCTGGTGATGGCCTTTGTCCTCTCAACCTTTTTATGTTTGAAAAGTTCCATATAGAAAAAAAATGAACCAAATTATTTGAAACTAATATTATACTGTCACTTTTCTGTATCTTTATAATAATATTTTGTGCTATTGTTCAGTTATCAAATGGTTCCTTAGGAAACATTCCCCTGATGTAAGATGGGACCCTAGATGGGCTCACACCTCATTGTGAGGTTCTCTTTCCTGACCTCTGCTTGCACCCTGTCCTGATTCACACCCCCCTCTGACCCCCCATCTCCATCTTCTTCCCTCCTTACCCGAGTTCCCAGGGTTCCCAGACAAGTCTACCCGTCTGGATTCTGCCAGCTCCTTGGAGCAAACGTTTCCTGGAGCTGCCTGCTCACCCATGTTATCTGTATTCGTTTCTCGTGGCTGCTGCGACAAATGACCACAAACTGGATGGTTTAACGCGACAGAAGTGTGTTCTTCCACAGAGGAAGCTTCAAGTCAGAAATCAAGGTGTTAGCAGGACCAGGCTCCCTCCCAAGTCTCCAGGGGACAATCCTTTCCTGCTGCTTCTAGCATATTGGGGGGGGTGGGGGGGTGACTCCAGTGTTCCTTGACTTCTGTCTTTGTACCTTTCAGTCTCCGCCTCTGTTTTCAAGTGACCTTCTCCTCTGTGCCTCCTCTTCTGACTCTTTGAGGACACTTGTGGGTGGATTTAGGGCCCACGTGATAAAACCAGTTAATCTCACCTCAAAATCCTTAACTGTACCTGCAAAGATCCCTTCTCCAAATAAGGTCACATTCACAGGTCCCTGGGGTTAGGAGGTGGACATCTCTTTTCAGGGGTCACCATTTAAGTGACCACGTGGCTTACAAGACCCTGTAGATGAGCCAGCTGAAAACATCAAAGAAGCTTCTTTTTCGGGTCTCAAAAAAAAAAAAAAATAATAACCCTCAGGGCAGATGTTTTTGATGAAACTTTTGTTTCACTTTTATATATGTATACATTTTATGTGTGTGTATATGTTTGTTGGATTGTGATGTAAAATGTATTTTTAGATCAGAAAAGTTTGCAGGCCACTGTAGTTAAATTACACTGGCAAATAAGAGCACAAATTAACCTCAAAAAAAAGAAAAGAAAAGAAAAGAAACTTCTTTTTCATACTTCATGACTAAGCCAGAGAGCCTGGCTCCTATCCCAGAGAAAGACTCCCTCCACCCCCTCTTTCCCAAGAGAGTCTGGGAATCTCCTCTCTGGTGAGTGTATGGCTGCAGGGGAATGGACAGAATGACCTCTCGCTCACCTCTCTGTTCCTGAGCCTCTCTGAGCAGTAATCTACCAGCTCCGGCTGCCACACATCCAGGGGTGGTAGTGGGGGCGGCATAAGCTGGGATGGGGATGGGCCCTGGCCTCCAGCTGACAGTGTTTTTTTCAGGAACTTCACGCCCATCTTCCACCCTGATTATGGCAACTGTTACATCTTCAACTGGGGTATGAAGGAGAAGGCCCTCCCTTCAGCCAACCCCGGAACTGAGTTTGGTAAGTCTGTCCTGGAGCCAGAGCCATGAGGTTTTGTTTTTTTTTTTTTTTTTATTTTTATTAGTTGGAGGCTAATTACTTTACAATATTGTAGTGGGTTTTGTCATACATTGACATGAATTAGCCATGGATTTACATGTATTCCCCATCCCGATCCCCCCTCCCACCTCCCTCTCTACCCGATCCCTCTGGGTCTTCCCAGTGCACCAGGCCCGAGCACTTGTCTCATGCATCCAGCCTAGGCTGGTGATCTGTTTCACCCTAGATAATATACATATTTCGATGCTGTTCTCTTGAAACATCCCACCCTCGCCTTCTCCCACAGAGTCCAAAAGTCTGTTCTATACATCTGAGTCTCTTTTTCTGTTTTGCATATAGGGTTATCGTTACCATCTTTCTAAATTCCATATATATGTGTTAGTATACTGTAATGGTCTTTATCTTTCTGGATTACTTCATTCTGTATAATGGGCTCCAGTTTCATCCATCTCATTAGAACTGATTCAAATGAATTCTTTTTTTATGGCTGAGTAATATTCCATGGTGAGCCATGAGGTTTTAAATCCTATCATGTGAGGATGAAAGACCAAATTGCCATCAGCTAGGTGGCACAGTGGTAAAGAATCCACCTGCCCTGTGCAGGAGATGTAGGAGGCTTGCGGGTTCAATCCCTGGGTTGGGAAGATCCCCTGGAGTAGGAAATGGCAACCCACTCTAATATCCTTGCCTGGAGAATCTCTTGGACAGAGGAGCCTGGCGGGCTACAGTCCATGGGGTCGCAAAGAGTCAGGCACGATTGAGTGATCACCAAGTACATACACCACCAGCTGTTGAGGGACAGGACCGACATCAGCCAGAGGCCGGCATGCAGAGGAGCAGCGTCTACTGGGTATCCCGGGGCAGGGCCAGTCCTTCTCAGCCGTCCTCCAACCCAAAGCGCAAAAACCCCTGGGTAGTGAGTGACCGGTGCGCCCCTTCTGCTGTTGAGCAAAGCGAGGAAGCAGTGGCTGAGAGCACAGGCTTCTGTGACCAGCTGGAATCCCAGCCCCACCATTTACCCCCGGGTGATGCTGAACCGAGACTTCTTGAAGCTCTCATTTCCCCATATTGCACAGAGCAAAGCATATGGTACAGACCGCATCGCGTCATCCTGGCCTAAGGCAGGCAGACCTCTGAGCAGAGAGCAAGTGGCCTTGCCCCTGAGCCTGGCCAGCCGCAAACTCTCACTAAATGCAGATGTTCTGAGAAGTTTTAAGTGACTTTCCCATGATCACACAGTTAGCCTGGGGCAGAGCCCTTACTCTCAGCCTCGTTTCTGTGCGGTTCGTGAGAGACAGAGAGAAGGTGAAGCAGTAAACAGAAGTGAGGAAGAGGCAAGTGGTTGATGGCAGAAGCTGCTTGTTTGGGAGCAGCTGGTGGACTCAGCATGTGTGCCAGGCCTTGGGGAGCAAATCCTTCCTCCCCACCCTTAGGTTCTGAGCTCCCCAGCCATCAAAAGGCAGGTGTCAGAGCTGCTGTTCTAGAGGGGTGTGGGTGGGCTGCCAATGCTTCACCCACCCCTGAGCCCCTGAGGACACTGGGTATCACAGAGATGCCAGCTAGCTCACTCTGTAGTGATGAATGATGATTAAGATCAAGGCTGCCTGTAGAAGTCCAGCAACTTCCACTTCCTCATTGAGTGACCTATGACAAGGTCCCATACTCTCTTTGGGCCTCAGATTCCTCATCTGTAAAATGGGGACAATAATTGTACCTATCTCATATGCCTCTTACAAGCCCCAGTGGGATCATGTAAATAAAGCCCTGAGCCCAGCACTCAGCATGCAGCAAATGCTCAATAAATGCTAAGCTTCTTGTCCTGCCCAGTCCTTTCTTCTTCTTGTATGTGTCCAGAGTTGTGTCCAACTGTTTGTGACCCCGTGGACTGTAGCCTGCCAGGCTCCCCTGGCCATGGAAACTTCCAGGCAAGAATACTGGAGTGGGTTGCCATTTCCCAATGCAGGGATCTTCCCAACGCAGGGATCAACCCGCATCTCTTGCATCTCCTGCATTGGCAGGCGGGTTCTTTACCACTGGCACTCCCTGAGAAGCATCCCCCACCATGATTCATAAAATACTGGGTCTGATCTCCACCTTCAAGAAGAGAACAGTGGAGTGGGGAAGGAAGACAGATAATAAAAGAAAAATTTCAAAAGTGAGACAGGTACTTGGAAGGTGAGTTCTAGGGTGAGGAGAGAGTATGACAGATCCCGAGACCCAGTCTAAGTAGTCAGGGAAGGCTTCTGGAGGAAGTGATACTTGGATTGAGCCCTGAAGGAAGAGCAGGAGTTTCTAGGTGCAAGGTGAGGCTGGAGACAGCATTCCAAAGAGAAGACAGCCTGACGAAGGCCCAGCAGTCAGAAGGAGCATGGCAGCTGAGGGGGTGAGCAGAGAGAAAGAGGACCCTGGAGACGAGAGGCGAGGCTGTCTGGCCTGCAGCCTTAGACCTTCCTGCCATGTGGAAGAGACCATGGAGTGGGGATGGGGCAGGCGGGGCCCAAAGTGGAGACCGTGCTGGCTCAGACTAGGATGGGGGCCTCAGAGAAGGCAAGAAGTCTGGGTTTGCGTAAAGTGGAGCCAGCTTCCTGCATAGACCCTGGCCTTCCCTTGGCTGGTGGGGGCTGGGCCCAGTGGGTGGAGGGTCTGCCCTCAGCCTTGGGGAGCCAGCTCAGGCTGCCCTCCACCCCATCTTCCCCTCAGGCCTAAAGCTGATCCTGGACATGGGCCAGGAAGACTACGTGCCCTTCCTCACGTCCACGGCCGGCGCCCGGCTGATGCTTCACGAACAGAGGTCGTACCCCTTCATCAAGGAAGAGGGCATCTACGCCATGGCGGGGATGGAGACATCTATCGGGGTGCTCGTGGTAGGCCTGCAGCCCGTCTGCCCAGCGCCCACCTCCCGGGGCCTGAGAGGAGGGGATCTGGGCATCCCCAAACCCTGGACCTCCTCATCATTCACTCCTGCCTCACCTTCTGCCTGGAACCCCAGCGGGCCCCAGGCTTGGGGGAAGATGAGTGTCTCCCACCCTTGGCTCCTGCTGGGGTGTCAGCCCTCCAGTCCCTCTGAGCACCCCCTAGACCCGCTGGCTGGATGGGAGGGGGGAACAGAGGGGGCTTCCTCGGGGTGACCAGGGGTCTCTCACACAGGACAAGCTGCAGCGCAAGGGCAGGCCCTACAGCCAGTGCACCAAGAACGGCTCTGACGTCCCCATCCAAAACCTTTACAGCAGCCACAACACGACCTACTCCATCCAGGTGGGAGGACGGTGGCCTGAGGCCCGAGGTCTCTGCGAAAGCTGGTCCCAGCAAGGCTGGCTCTGCTGGATATCTGGGACCACAAGGTTCCCTGGAGGCTAGGGAACCAGCCTAGTCCTGGTTCTTACCAGGGCCCAGGGCTGGCCACTTCTTGTCCTTGCTTGGCAGGTGTGGCCTTGGGGTCTTGTTCTGAGGTTTCCCAAAAGAGCTTTTGTGTGTATTAAGGGTTTACATGGATTAAACCATCATTTGATCCTTTCACTACCCATATGAGGCAATAATATTCTAATAATAATTGCTAATTATTGTTAGTATATTAATATGCTAGTAACAGCATTTATTGTCTATACTATTTATTATAATATACTATTGTTATTATAATATACTAATAACAGCAGGCTTATGTGCTAGGCAGGCACCGTTCCATGTGCTTTACATATATATATATATAATTTAATCCTTATAGCAATACCAAGATGTAGACACTATTATTAAGAATAAGGAAATTGGGGTTTATAGACCCTAGTCCAAATGCCTCATCAGTGTTCCTAAGTCCCTCTTTGTATCTGGCCTTAATCCCCTTTCTGAAGCTAGGGCTTACTTACCTCTTACCCTGATCTCCAAGGTCAGCCCACGAGGCCTGGCCTCAGACCTGGCCCTAGAGGATAGGACAAACTGACTCTTTGCAAAGGTGACCTAAGTGACCGCTCACAGTGACACTTTCTCTCCCAGTCCAGCCTGCCTTGGCGGATGAGGACCCTGAGGATGGCTAGGGGGCAGCCCGGGGCCTGGCTCCGTGTCTGAGAGCCCCGAGCAGGGCGTGGTTTTCCCTTTCGTCTTAGTCACTGGACTCCACCGTCCCCGCTGCCCACCCACCCTGCCCGCTCTGTCCAGCACCCCTCACTCTGACTGTCCTATCTGGAGGGGCTTCTGCCTGCAATGGAGAACTTGAGGCATCTTCAAGCCTCTGGAGGGACAGATGGACAGACAAGGCAGCACAGCAGGGTGGGGAGCACAGAGAAGGTGGCCACAAAGGCATCAGGCCAGCCCCGGAGACCCCATTCCAGATAAACCCCAGGTCTCGTTTTGTCCAGGGCCATCACCAGTCTGGACAGAGACCTTGGCAAAGCCCCAGGCCCTGGTCGGGCACTCTGCCTGCCAGCCCTGGCCCCACCCTTGGCCTCCACCCTGGAAAGGGCCCCTACCTTCCAGGTGAGACAGTGAGGTCTGGGTGAATATCAGACACTTGGCCCGGGTCAGAGCTCCCTGCTGACCCACTGCCCCCGATCTCGCCCCAGACCCCCTCCTCCCGACTGTGCCATTTCATCTGCCACACACCCCCTGCCCACCCCACCTTCTTCCCGCGAGGGTCACAGGGAGAACAAAGCACTGGATGCAATGGCCTGGGAAGCAGCAGGCAGGAGAGTGGGGGAGGGGATGCGAGCACCTTGGCAAGGGTGGGAGCAGGAAGCCCTCCAGAGGCGGACTTGGGAAGCCGGGCAGGAGAGCCGGGACGAGTGGCTGCTTCCATTCTTCAAGTGCCCAACGGCATGCTGACCTCCCCACCTTAGACACAGGAGCAACAGGGGTAAACTGAGGCTCGGAGGTGAGGGCTGGCCCCGGGACATGTAGCTCGTTTCTGCGTGGACTGAAACCAGGTCGGAATGACCCAAAAACCCAGAAAGAATAGATTCATCTCATCCAGCCTGAAGGGGCCTTGTCCACCTCCCCACCAGGGGACATTCCGTAGAAGGTCACTTCCTGTCCATCGCTCTGAGCACTCGGATCACCCTCCTCACCTTCCCTGAGTGTTTCCCTCTAGGATGAAGGAGAAGAGAATGTGCTTGCCTGCTTTCTCGTCTGGGTCCTTCCACATAAATGGCTTGAAAGGCTGCTGGCAGCCTTGTAACAAGAGCTATCTACAAGTTAGCTGTTTTTGTTATTGGGGGGAGACAGTGGACACATTTGGGATCTTAGTTCCCTGACCAGGGATCGAACCCACAACCCCTGCCATGGAATCACAGGGTCCTAACCATTGGCCGGCCAGGGAAGTCCCCGAGAAATAGCTTTAGGGTTGGAACAAGCCTCCTCTCCCCGTGTCATCTGTGGGGCCAGCCTCAGAGAGCTGGGTTCTGGCTTGAGTCCTTCTGTGGGGACAGAGCCAGGGAAGGACTGCCACCTCCCACCTCGGGGGGTAGGGGGGAGGAAGCTTAGCCACCTCACCACCCTTCTCCACGGGAGGGGCACCTCCTCAGCTCCCCCAGCACCCCCGGCCTGGGCATCCAGCTGCCTGGGCCCCGTCCTCCTGGGGCTGAGGTGGGGACATCACCTTCAAGTCTGTCTTCTCTCTGCCCCTTCCCACCCCCCCAGGGCTGTATCCGCTCCTGCTTCCAGGAGCACATGATTCGGGAATGTGGTTGTGGCCACTACCTGTACCCGCTGCCCCACAAGAGGAAATACTGCAACAACCAGGAGTTCCCGGACTGGGGTGAGCGGGGAGCGCCCCCGGGGACCGGCCCCCCCAGCCCACTGAGCCTCTGCCCACAAAGGCTGTGACCGCAAGCAGGGGGTGGGGGGCTCCACCATCCACGGCCCCTCTTGCCCTGGCTCCCCCCACCCCCAGCTCCCTGATGCCTTTAAGTGTACACGCGAAACGTGTAAGTTCGGGAGAGAGTTTGTCCTTGAGACCTGAAGTCACCAGAAAGGGAGCCCCTTCTGGGCTCACACTGAGCCGGAGTCATCCAAACACCGATGGATGTTGTCAGCGGCAGAGGGAGCCCCACCACCTCTTAAAAAACTAACAACATGCGTGGACAGGAGGGGAGAACTTTATCCCTTCCAATGCCCACCCCTCCCCACATGAACCCCTGGCCCTAGCTCGCCCCCCGCCAGGCTCAGGGATGACAGGTGGAGGGAAAGCTGCTCTGATCCTCCTGAGCTGGGGCTGGGGTGTTGGGGAGGGAGTCCCTCTGGCCAGACTGGGGCCAAATGGTTGGAGAGGGGGCACCCAGGGTGGGTGATTTTCCGTAAAGAGGGAAGTTTGGATCGAGACAACGCTTCCCACTCAACCTAACCACGGGCCTTAGGTGGCTCAGGGCCAGGATATCAGAGGGCAGCCAGAGGCTCAAAGCAGAAAGCCTGGCTCAAAATCTCTCCCCCCCACCCCCTCCCACCCAGCCCATTGCTACTCTGCCCTGCGCATCAGCATGGCACAGAGGGAGGCCTGCATCTACGCCTGCAAGGAGTCCTGCAAGTGAGTCCACACGGAGAGGGGATGGGCGGGGGCGGGAGTGGAGGGTGGGGCGGGCGGGGAGAGTGACGATGGGCTGACGTCTCTTCCAGTGACACTCAGTACAAGATGACCATCTCCATGGCCGTCTGGCCTTCCGAGGCCTCTGAGGTGAGTCAGGGGAGCGGCCAAGCTCCTAGCCACCCAGCTTCGGATGGGAGGCAGGTGTGGCCGGAGGTCTGCAGGCTGTTTGGAACTTTAGAAGGGAATTCCTCCCACCTTCCACTCCCTCCCCTTCACCCGTGTCCCCCAAGGACTGTGCTGGGGACACGGCAGTGAATGGGACAGACTGTCCTTTGCCCTTCCGGAGCTTACTTTCCAGCTGCAGAGACAGACCATATACAGAAATAAGATCATTTCCAAGGGCTATGTAGGGAGTAAACCAGATGCCGAAAGGGTAACTGGGGGAAAGCACTTTAGACAGGGTGGTCAGGGAAGACCGCCTCCTCCCCACCTCTCTAAAAAGGTTTATCTGAGCTAAAACTGGAGGATGGGGCTGAGCCAGCCTGCGCAGGTCTGGGGGGGACCTGGGCAGAGGGAACAGCAAGTGCGAGGGCCTGCTGTGGGACAGAACTGAAGCAGGAAGGCCAGGCCTATGGGGCAGAGCCTGGAGACCCAGTGCCTTTCCCGTCTCTCCCTGGGCACACACACCGTCCCCAGGGCTGTGGTCTGCCTCCCACAGGTAGCAGGGCCCATGCCTGGGTGGGGATGCTGTTGGCACCGTTGTTCTCAGCTGCCTTTTTGGGTTCCAGGACTGGATTTTCCACGTCTTGTCTCAGGAGCGGGACCAAAGCAGCAATATCACCTTGAGCAGGTGAGCTCAGAGTCTGGACGGGCCAGGGAGGGCAGGAAAGAGGAGGAACCAGAGCCTCGGGTGAGGGGCTTGGACACAGGGCAGCTGCTCAGACACCTTCTCACACTGGTCAGATCCAGAAGCAAGCCTGGAGGGGGAAGTACTGGGAGTGAGAGAGAGGCCAGCCAGGGGGGCTCAGAGCCTACTGTTTCCTAAAGGACAACCTGTTCATTCATCCATCCACCCCTCCAGTCCTATCATCCTTGAACCCGTCCACCCATCTACCCATCATCCATCCTTCCAATCATCTCCCCATCCTTCTATCCATTCACATCCATCCATCCATTCACCCTCCATCATCCGTCCTTCCATTCTTCCACTCATCCGTCCACCCACCCAACCTCCATCCATTCATGCATCTTTCCATCCATTCAACACAAGTAGGCCTTGAGCACAAGAAAGACAGGAGCTTTCATTCTATCAGGAACTTCAAATCTAGAAATACATGAACAGGGCTTTGGTGGTGGGAGTCTGCACAGTACCCTTTCTCAGGGAGCCCAGCAGGGAAGAAGGCGTCTTCTTCCTGAGAGATAAGGGAGGTCTGTATAGGGAGGTAACCCTTGAGCTAATCCCCTAAGGAGGAGGAGTAACTGTTCAGAAAAATAGGAAGAGGCACTGATGTCCCAGCAGAAGGCTGGAGGTATGAGAGAGCATCACCTTTCTGAGGACCATCAGGTGTAAGGGGGAAGCCCTCTTGGCCACACTTCCCTGCCCCGGGTCCCCTGACAGCGGGCCAAGGCTTAGGACTCTCTGTCAAGTCTGTTGTACTGGGAGTGGCCAAGCGGAGCTCAGAGCTGATCCTCAGGACTGTCTTGGTCCACAGGTCCTTTGGAGAGCTGGTTCAGAAACGGGTGCACAGAAGGGGTGCTGGGCAGAGGTGCCTTTTGTGGCCCCAAGGCCTAGAGGGCCCTTCCTGGTTCTTGTTTGAACTCTCCACTCCTGGGGGTGGGCACATGGGAAGCTTGAGCCAGAGGAGGGTACCTTTCCTGTGTGTGTGTGTGTGTGTGTGTGTGTGTGCACGCGCACGCGCCTTGGGGAGAGGGCACCAGTTCCCTTTGCTGCCTCCTGCAGGAAGGGGATTGTCAAGCTCAATATCTACTTCCAAGAATTCAACTATCGCACCATTGAAGAGTCAGCAGCCAATAACGTGAGTCTGGGGGCTCCTGACACCTCAGCCCTGCCTGCTGCCCCTCCACCCTGCAGCCTGAGGGTGGGGAGGGTCCAGAGCCCAGTGGAGGAATTAGGAGGGTCCCTTGTCATTTATGGGTTTCCTTGGTGGCTTAGATGGTAAAAGCATCTGCCTGCAATGCGGGAGACCCAGGTTTGATCCCTGGGTCTGGAAGATCCCCTGGAGAAGGAACTGGCAACCCACTCCAATATTCTTGCCTGGAACATCCCATGGACAGAGGAGCCTGGCAGGCAAAGGTCAATGGGGTCGAAAAGAGTTGGATAAGACTGAGACTAACGCTACTTACTTACTTACTTGTTTAGTCGCTCAGTCTTGTTCAATATTTTTGCGACCCAGTGGAGTGGGACGCAATACTGACAGACAGATTCTTCACTGCTGAACCACCAGGGAAGCAGGAAGTTCCCATAGGCACTCCCAGATTACTTCCCTGGGCTGAGATGATCACCTTTTCTCCCCTTCTGGCCACCAACTCACCTCTCAGGAAGCCATGAGGTTGGGCTTGAGGCAGAGATCTGTGGCCCAACCCTCCCACCCCGGCCAGGTCCTCACCCCCCTGCTCCCTGCAGATCGTCTGGCTGCTCTCGAACCTGGGCGGACAGTTCGGCTTCTGGATGGGGGGCTCGGTGCTCTGCCTCATCGAGTTCGGGGAGATCATCATCGACTTCGTGTGGATCACCATCATCAAGCTGGTGGCCCTCGCCAAGAGCGTGCGGCAGAAGCGGGCCCAGGCTCGCTACGAGGGCCCACCACCCACCGTGGCCGAGCTAGTGGAGGCGCACACCAACTTTGGCTTCCAGCCGGACTCAGCCACACCTGGCCCTGACACGGGGGCCTACCCGCATGAGCAGAACCCGCCCATCCCGGGCACCCCACCCCCCAACTATGACTCCTTGCGCCTGCAGCCGCTGGATGTCATCGAGTCTGACAGCGAGGGTGATGCCATCTAGAGCCTGCCCTGCCCCTCCCTGTGGGCCAAGAATTCAAACCTGAGCAGCTGAGACATCGCCCAAGGCTAGAGTCCAGGTCCCTCCACAGTGAGGCCGGCAGCTCTTGGCCAGCCCCAGGCTGAGGGCTCCGAGGGGTCACGGTGCTGGTATGGATATGGGAACTGTGTTCCTGCCCACACCCTCAACCTGACCCAACCCTTGGCCTGGGATCCGAGACCCAAAGCACTCTCCCCTGGAGGCAGGCCACTTCCCTCCCAGTGACAGTCACCGTCTGCCCCAGAGATGAAGGCAGGCAGACAGACACACTGTGCCCTCTGATCCAGAAGGAGCCTTCTTTTCCTCCTGCCTCAGCTGACCTGGTGAATGGATTGAGTGAGGGTAGAGTTGATGGAGAGCAGGCATGAGGGTCTTGCCAGGCGGCACATGTTTTGTTCTGGAAAATAAAAGTGGAAAACATAGAGTGTAGTTTTCCTCTTTGTCGGGCTGAGCATCCAGAGCGCCCTGATGCATCTCTGGTGGGTAGAAGGACATCAGTGCTGACTTGAGAACAGAGACATGGCCAGGGAGAGGCCCAAGCTGGGGATTAAGTTTCCTTCATGTCGTCCCTGAAACAGTGACCTTATGCCTTTTTCAGTGTTGTCCAACTTATTTCTTTGGGTTTCCAGAACCGAGAGAGCGAGGGAAGGAGGTAAGGTGGGATAAATACTTAAAACTAAAAACTGGCTTAATCACAAGCATCTCCAGCAGCTCAAAGGATGTCTGTTCTCTCTGCCTTCCCAGGCAGGCTCGCCTTATATTATAGCAGCAAAGGTCATTTGCAACTGCAAACTCACATCTCCAGGTTAGCAAACCCAGCTAGGAGAGAGCCTCCCTTTCCCAATTGTCTCAGCGAGCTCCCAAGCTGACTCTCATTGGTCACTGAGTGGGTCACATGCCGGCCTCTGAACCAATCAGTGTGCCCCGTTCGTAGGCTGCCGGAATTGATCAGACCCTGCCAATACCTAAGTCCCCTTGGCCCCTCCGCAGAACCACGTGGTCTGAGGGTGGTGGGGACATGGTTCCTAGGGGTGCCACATAAAATATAGGCCACCAAGTTAAACTGGAAGTTTTTTTTTTTAATTTACTTTTGGCTGCCTGGGTCTTTGTTGCTGCGTGCAGGCTTGCTCTAGTTTTGGCAAGCAGGGCCACTCCTCATTATGGTGCACGGGCTTCTCATCGCAGTGGCTTCTCTTGTGTGGAGCATCAGCTCTAGGGCGAGCAGGCTTCAGTAGTTGTGGCTCAAGGGCTCCAGAGCACAGGCAGTGTAGTTGTGGTGCACTAGCTTAGTTGCCCTGTGGTGTGTGGGATCTTCCTGGACCAGGGATCGAACTGGTGTCCCTGCATTACAGGCAGATTCTTAACCAATGAACCACCAGGGAAGCCCAAAACTGGAACTTTAGATAGGCAAATTAATTTTTTAGTAGACATCCATGTAATATTGGGGGCATATTGTACTAGTATAATCAAGAAAACAAACCAGTCAATCCTAAAGGAAGTCAACCCTGAATACTTACTGGAAGGACTGGTGCTGAAGCTCCAATATCTTGGCCACCTGATGCAAACAGATGACTCATTGGAAAAGACCCTGACTCTGGGAAAGATTAAAAGCAAAAGAAGAGGGTGGCAGAGGATGAGATGGTTGGATAGCATCACCAACTCACTGGATATGAACTTGAGCAAACACTGGGAGATAGTGAGGGACGGGGAGGCCTGGCATGCTGCAATCCAGGGGGTTGCAAAGAGTCGGACATGTCTTAGCAGCTGAACAACAACAACAACATTATACTAATAAATCATTGTTTTTCTGAAATTCAAATTTAACTGAGTTTCCTGTGTTTTTAATTGCTAAAGATGGCAACACATAGCCTGGTGGGCTACAGCCCATTGGATCGCAAAAGAGTCAGACATGACTTAGTGACTCAACAACAACATGGCAATACTGTCGGCCTCCCAAAGAGGAATCAGGAGCCGTTATCAACCAAGGATGGGATCTGGCAGCTGCAGACAGTTCACCACTGCAGGGCCCTGCTGTCAGCTGCCAGCCCTGCTGGTGAATGAGTGCTGGCTTCAAAGCCTGGGACCAGGGCGTCTCAGTCCTGCTGGTCTAGAACACCAGAGTCCTTGGCCTGAAAGCAAACAAGCTGTGCTCCCTTTAAGTGCCCACAATAGCACCTGTGGAGGAGGGCAGTGCCACTCCAGTCAAAGGCAGCGCTGCTAGGGATTGAGTGGGGCGGGTCTGGGGGAAGCCAGGTTTCCCAGCTCAGAGCCAGACTGAGTCTGCAGGCTGGAGTCAACAATTCTTGGTAATTATCACACTTACTACCATGACTAGGACTTTTATTATTAGCAGTGGTAGTTGTCACCACACTCACTATTATTTGTTGTTGTCTTTAAACAATGACTGTATTGTATCAAACACTTACCGCATGCCAGGCACCAGGCCAACTGTATACTTTGTAAGTCTTATTTCATTGAATTCTCATAACCACTGAGAAATATGATCATCCCATTTTATAAGTAAATAAATTGAGGCTTGGAGAGGTAAGTTACTAGACTAGATTGCTATTACCCTAAGTGACAAGGGCAAGACTCCAGCCTCATCCTCTTGCTGCTATGAGAATACCAGTGATCATTAGAATAGTAGTTCCTCAGAGGAGCCCAGGGCTTTCATATTTATTATCTGATCTGAGGCTATGGGGCAGAGCAATGATTATTATCTAACTCTTTTTTACCAGCCTTTTGGTCACAAGTTAATTTGAACTTGAGCTAAAAAGGGAATTCATTGGTTCTTGTAATTAAAGTCCAGGGATTTCAGGCAAGGCTGTATCCAGGGGTTTACCTCAATCTAGTGATTTCTCCAGCTACCGGCTTTATTATCTTCTGTGTTGACATCTGTTTTACATAGTTTCTCTCCATGAGCTTTTCTTTCCCTTTTAGTCCCAGACTCATTTCCTCAGCTCAGCAACACAATAGGAAGAAAATTTTCCTAGCAAAAATTTTGAGAATGAGGCTCATTTGGATCAGCCTGGGCCACATGCTAATCCTGAACCAATCACTGCAACTGAGGATGGGAGATGCTACCTGGCCTGCCCAGGGTGGGGGTCTATGGCAGATAGTCCCTTACAGACTCCTGTGAAAGGTTTTGCTCAGAGACACGTGGAACCAAGAGTGGGAGGAGCTTCCGGCCCCCAGAGTTGCTTGTAGAAAAAGGACCAGGCTGACATGGGCATCAGGTGCTATCCTCTCCTGGGGAGTACTGAGGGTTGGAGTAAAGATGGGTGATGGCCCCACCTCTGAAAGCAGGCTCTGAGTCAGCAGAAGGGCATTACGCTCCCCTCCGGATCTAGAAGGGAGAAGGGCTATCCTATTCTAGCCCTTCAGAGCCTGAAAGATTAGTCGAGCAGTTCCAAAATTACCCAGGAATGGCATTCTGTAATTCCTACCACTATCCCCAGTGGGAAAGTAAATTACAGATGCTGGAGAACTATGGAATTAGCATCTATTATACACTTAACATGTGCTGTTAGTCATTCAGTCTTGTCTCTTCTGGACCTCATGGACAGCAGCCCGCTAGGCTCCTCTGTCCATGAAATTCCCTAGGCAAGAATTCTGGAGTGGGTTTCCACTCCCTTCTCCAGAGGATCTTCCCCACCCAGGCATCGAACCTGGGTCTCCCACATTGGAGGCAGATTCTTTACTTCTGAGCCACCAGGGAAGCCCTTCATCTCATCTCGAGCACTCTTCAAATAATCCTATGAGTTAGGTACCATCCTGACCCTTGTTTTCCAGATTTGGAAACAAGGCTCAGAGAGGTGAATGACTTTCCCAAGGTCACGCAGCTGGATGGTGGCAAAGCTGGAACCAAGCCCGAGCCTGTCTTAGCGGCGCTCACCGACACTGGCAGAGGTCCCTGCAAAGAGGTTTCCACTTCAAAGCAGCACTTTCCACCTTCCAGGTCTCCAGCTCCCACTTCGAGGGAGGAGCCAGGCTTGATCCCTGCCATGGACGTCTGTGATCCACCACGTGAGAAACCAAAATATTTTTCTTGGTGTGAGCTTGCAGCTGATGCTCTTTTAGGGCCAGCCAAACTGTTTCCAACGATGTGGAGAAACAGAAGGTGTGGGAATCCCCAGGAGACAGACCCAGAGGGAGACCCGGCCCTGGCAGCCTGGTGGGGCTGTTTCAGAGGCCGAGGTCACAGCGATGCCCCTCCCAGGGGGCTGGCATGGGCAGGCTGAGCTGGGTGGGATTAGGTGGAGCTGGCGCCTCTGGGCTCCCAGCTCTGCACATGGCCGCTGAGTGCCTCTGGGCAAGCCCCTTAGAGCTCTCCAACCTGCAGTTCCTTTGTGTCTGAAATATTCCCGGGCTCCACGGGAATGTGAGGCAAAGGCTAGGAAACAAGGAAAGCCCACCCAGGCTCAGAACACAGTGCAGTTCACTTCAAAAGGAGCCTGTGAGAGACTCGGCTGCCTCCCCTTCTCCCCGTTTGTTCAGGCAGCAAGAAATGCTGCATGGTCTAAGCCAGGGTTTCTCTACTAGAGGTGGTTTTGCCTCCTGAACCATGTCTGGAGGCACTGTTGGTTGTCACAACTAGGGCATCCAGTGTGTGCAGGCCAGTGATGCTGCTCAACACCCCACAGCACAGGATGCCCCATAACAGAGCTGTCCAGCCTGGCGGACGTCAGTCCTGCTCCTGTGCTCCCAGACTTGCTTGCAGCTGGGGAGATGCCTGGTGACCCAACATGGCCATGAGGCCTGGGAGGAAGTCACGGGTGGGGCTCTGGGAAGGCCTCTGCCTCCCCAGTGGAAGGGATAGAACTGCTGCTCGGCCACCCCCTCTCTGCCTCCTTTCTCTCTGAATGAAGATGCTGTACCTAGTTGCAGGAGGATGAGGCACCAGGCCTGTAGGGAAACGTCAAGATCAGAGAGGCTGGTCCTGACTCAGTCCAGCCACTAAATCAGTGCCCATCAGTTCAGTTCAGTTCAGTTCAGTCGCTCAGTCATGTCCAACTCTTTGCAACCCCATGAATTGCAGCATGCCAGGCCTCCCTGTCCATCACCAACTCCCAGAGTTTACTCAACTCATGCCCATCGAGTCGGTGATGCCATCCAGCCATCTCATCCTCTGTCGTCCCCTCCTCCTCCTGCCCCCATCCCTCCCAGCATCAGGGTCTTTTCCAATGAGTCAACTCTTCACATGAGGTGGCCAAANCAGCTTCAGCATCAGTCCTTCCAATGAATATTCAGGACTGATCTCCTTTAGGATGGACTGGGTGAATCTCCTTGCAGTCCAAGGGACTCTCAAGAGTCTTCTCCAACACCATAGTTCAAAAGCATCAATTTTTTGGCGCTCAGCTTTCTTCACAGACCAACTCTCACATCCATACATGACCACTGAAAAAACCATAGCCTTGACCAGAC